ATTAGTACCTTATTATTTATTATTTCATTGGGTATCTATAATATTTTTTGGATAGAATATTTAATCAATTTTTAGAGTGTATTAATGTAAATGATTTTGAGATGAATGTTGGTGGCCATTATTGGATGAGTCTATTTGAGACCGTCAAATGAACTTATTAAAGTATGGTCTATTTTATATTATAGATTTTCACTTACCATTTTTAGGTGAAGCTTATCACTTTTTGACGATAAATTTATCACCTTTTTATTTTTATTTTTATTTTTATTTTTTTTCAATCAGGTACCGAAAATAAAAATTGATAACTAGTGTTCTTCAGAACTGATTTGCATTTCCTATTATTTGTGATACTTTTGTCATCATTGTGTGCTTTTCTCTCTCTCAAATTTTTGGTGAATTTTTCTTTTCTTGGTATGGTGGTGATTATTGTTGTTTGAAGTGAGCTACGATGGCCGATCGTTGAATTTGAGAGAATAATCAGCGTAAATTTGAACACCATGTAACAAAAAAAGAAAAGAAAAGAAAAGTCAACTGCAATATGTTTCTCCTGGCAAATTAATTAGCTTAATGGCTCTGTAAAATCCCAACCCTTAATCATTGTTCAAAAAGTAAAAGTAAAAGTAAAAAAAAAAAGCATGAGAAACTGAAGAATTGCAGGTAAAATATTTAAATTATTAAAAAAGAAAGTATTGTTAAATCCAATTACTGAAATACCTTATGGGGTTGTTTGGTAAGGAGGTATGGGGGGCATGACAAGATGAGTTTAGGAAAAATAGTCCAAAGTACCGCCTAACCCTATGTTTGGATAAAAAATTCAATTATGAATTTTCAAACCTGGTTCGTAGTTGATCCGAATATTAAACTCATGATTATGAGTTTCGTCAAACTTAAGGGAGTGGATTTGGAAAGATGGGTTAAGGGGTTAAAGATGCAAAAGATAATTATATCCCTTAATATAAATATGAATTAGATTGATCAAGGGTAAAATAATCATTTACAAGATAAATAGTTATTAATAATAATGTTATATCCACGGGTCTTACATGTGTATGTGTTGCATACCAAATATGGGATACCTGATTCAATGTTGAATTTCATCTTTGTAAAAAAAATTTAGAAGGATTAGGGAAAGTCAATCCAAATCCTTTTAAAAAAAGAAAATTTAGATGTCAGTCCCCTTATATAGACTTATTTGGAGATAAGTCCAGTAACGAAACTTATTTGGTTTTAAGTTTATTTTTTGTCAAGTTTACTATTGTACCCTTACCCTTTGAAAAAAATCGACGTTTGATAATTAATGGAAGTTTTACATGGTAGTCATATATTATGATAGTTCTATATGGAAACTTGATATATGAATAAATTGTTAGTCTATTAAATCAAAATCAGATCACAAAATTTCTTTAATAATTCAAAATTTCCTTAACATTAGTGTAATTATAGTGACACGAATGAGATTGTTTTCCTTAAAATACTTAATACTCAAAATGAAGAATTTTACCATTTCAAATAATAACACAAACTAAACCCCAATTTTCACATACACTATCAATTGCAAACCTTTAGACATATATTATGTAACAAACACATTTAATTTTCACAGTAACATCAAAAGTTTGTGCGCAGTAACACATCGACTTTTATAAAATACAAGACAATAGGGTTTCCACAGTAATATCAATTTTTGAAAGATTATAGTGAAAATACAATTCACAAATTAAAATTTTATAAAATTTTTAGTAGTAACATACTGTTGACAGTTGAATTAGGACACTTAACACCAATCAAGCACATCAAGATATCAAAATTTTGAAATCCATTTTTCAGTTATCACACAATAACATGATCTATTTCACAAACACACAACCAAGGTATTTTGAATGTCTTACACAACAAAAAAAATAACAAAATCGAATTATATAACAGTTTTAATTTAGTAATAATAAATTTCAAATTTTAAATTAGGAATGCCAAAAAAAAAAAAGATAGTTGGAACTATATATTATGTAGAAGTTTTTTAAAACCCTACAATGAACATCAACTTTTATGTAAAATAGCATACCTTAACTCTATTTCTGAATCACAAAATTGTGAAGATGTTTTGAATGCAAAGAATCAACTGTAACTTTGTCAATGGATTCCACAGTAAATTTAAAGAGTAAAATTAAAATTGGGATTGAGTTTGTGTTACTATTTGAAATGATGAAATTCTTTATTTTGGGTATTAAGTATTTAAGGAAAAATAATCTCATTCGTGTCACTATAGTACACTAATGTTAAGGAAATTTTGAATTATTAAGGAAATTTTGTAATATGATTTTGACTTAATAGACCAACGATTTATTCGTACATCAAACTACCATATATAACTATCAAAATATATAACTTCCATATAAAACTTCTGTTATTTATCATAATATTTAATAAACGGTTTTCATATATAACTCAATCAAGAATTTTCATATATCTCAATGATCTAACATATGTGACTTTTCAAAACTAGAAAAAACTAACATTGTTAGGAGTAATTTTGAAATTTAAAAAATAAGTGGACTTAAGTACCTACATATAAGTTAAACATGGACTTACTCTCAAATAAGTTTCTTTCCAGAACTCAAGCCATTATAAGTCCATTTAGGAGAACTAATCCATCCAAACAAACCCATGTATGTGCATATCTTTGAGGGTTGCATTTAGCTCTTCTCTTCGGCGCAAATTCCGCTTTAATATTTGACTATTCTTGCAGGTGTATTTTTCATTTTATTATAATCATAATTTAATTAAGTTACTTTGTAATAGTGATCCACCGCGGCATGCAAAGGGGAAAGAAATTATTCAATTAATGGAAGTTTAATTTAAATTAATAACCAATAATGCACAAAAGACACTATGATGCATGACTTCCAAACTTTCATAGAACATATAGAGCAGTCTAAGGGGATAGTTGCTCTATTTAGCCAACTAAAATTTGTTTATGACATTGAATAAGGTAGCTGTAGATGCCCATTACCTATTATATATTTATCTTCAACCAGTATGACATATGTAAAAAAGGTAAAAAGATTTATTTATTAATGTTAAAATGTTAAGTTTCACAAAACTAAATAGATTTTTCTAATAGGAGTAGATCACAATTAATATGGCATAGATATTTCCTATTTAGTTAAGAACTAAATTTGGTAGGTTTTGGTATTTAATTTTGAGCATCTTTGTTTAGTGATTGTTAGATCGTGATCTAATGGTCTATATAAAAAGTACTCACTAGAGGTTACAGTGCAGAGCTTCCATGATCGGGCTACTTTCTCTCTCTCTATATATATATACACACATATTAATTATAAGAGAGATATGTTTTAATAGCAAAGATAATGACAAAATACTTTAAAATTCAAAACAACTACGATATACACAATCAACATTAGATGTAAATTTTGTGATAATATAATTCTTCCATTATATTAAGAAATCTTTAATATAATAAAACAAAATCAAAAATCAACTTAACAGCCAAAAAAATATGCATGATTTAAGGGAGGACAAATATGTCAAAGAAAAATCATAAAAAGTCAAATTGTGTACTTGGACACAATAAAGTTCTAAAAAAAGACTTAATGACCTAACGTTAAGAGCTATGCAATTTTTGACTAATAACTCTAATTTTGTATACTTCCTTACAATTTTTCCCTATTTTATTGGCTGGCCCTAGGGTCGGCCCTGCTGTGGCTCTTTCCATCAAAATGATCAAAGTGTTTGAGCATCTAGTNTTTTCCCTATTTTATTGGCTGGCCCTAGGGTCGGCCCTGCTGTGGCTCTTTCCATCAAAATGATCAAAGTGTTTGAACATCTAGCAACAATTGTAGTCTCTACTCGTCCCTCACTATTGAGTCTTTGTCCATGAATCTGATTAAGTAAGAAAAATTGATTACTAGATAACACGCAAGGATTAAATGTAAAATATGTGTTATTCTATATTTTATGCATTTTATTAATTTGTCAAATTATGTGTAGACCGTTATAAAATACTGTCATAGTAAAAATGTTCATTGTTACAACGTGGTATCACATAATATTTTTGTTTTTTTAGTAATTTAGGCATTTAAGATATATTAAACATTACATGTGTTATTTAATACACATGCTATCTGCGTATAACTGTTAATTAGTATAATTCATAAGAATTGTAAATATATATAGATCATCATGATTAAGCACATATTTTTTAACAAACAAATCTGCACATCTGTTTTATCTTTCTTATCTCTTGTTTAACCCGCATTTTTTGAGATACAATCTATTGTTTAATTATTATTTTTATGGTCATTTTATTTGTTTTGTATGTTCATAAAAATTGTGGAATTATATGATCGATTATCAATATACATTTATAATTCATTATTATCGAATTATTTTACTATTTTTTTTATAATCCTTAACTTGTTTATGTATGCAACGTTCACGTACTATTTTATTATGTTTTATTTTTCTCAATAATAACTTTATTGAAATTTTTTTTGATATTAATTACTTTTTATTGTGGACCCTTTATGAAAATAAACAATTTAATTTGTTGGTGTTTTTATGTTTAAATGAGAACAAAATTAAGTTTGAGAAAAATAGAAAATGTGTTTGATTTATTTTTATTTATAGAAGAGAGATAAAGTGTATGTGTGAGGTGAACTAAACTTTTGGATCTAAATTTTAAAATTTATTTTGTTAGACTTAATCTTTCAAGTAGGTGTGTTTAAATTTTTCCATATCCGACCAATTTCGACCCAATCCAACCTAATTGATCGGCTTTCGTAAAAATCTGCCGGCTAATGAAAGAGTTTTTAATTTTTCGGGTAAAAATACAAAATAGTGATAAAATTTTTGTATACCTATCCGACCCGGCTCGACCCACGTGTATAAATTTTTTAAAGAATATATACATGTTAATGTGTGCACAAAAATCCTAAAACTCATAGCGCATCCTCCTCTTCGAGTCTCGGAGACTCCGCCTCTTTCTTACTCTTCTTCTCAGTGGATTGATCCCTAGCGCCTCCTCCTCTTCGAGTCTCAGAGACTCTCTCTCTCGCCGCCTTCTCCTTGAAGCCACAAGCCACACGCATCCCAGGTTCTATCTCTCTCTATCTTTCTGTATGACAGTCTCTGTGTGAGTCTTAATTCCTTTTCTTTTTCTGAAATTGAAATCATATGATTAGAGTTTCAGGAGTTTTTTTTTGTTAAGCTAAATTATAATGAGTTTTAGTCATTGACCTATATCTTATTATTGAACTCCAGCCCGTGCTTTTTTGAATATACTGTTGAGCCGGCCATGGATTCTTTAACCATCGACGAATCGAAGAAAGTCAATAAATTTCTTAACGATCCAGAAGATACTAACATCGAAAATGTACTTCTCTCTCTCCTTTCGTCCCTTTGAAGGTCTAGGTTTTTAATTTTCTATTTGGATTTCGATTAACTTTAGGATTTTGACTGTTTGATATTAGGTTAGTTCTGATGGTACTATATATTCATCGGCGAAAAGCTTCGAGGAGTTGAACTTGTCTCCGGAATTGTTGAAGGGATTATATGTAGAAATGAAATTTGAACGCCCGAGCAAAATCCAGGCAATTAGTTTACCCATGATATTGACTCATCCGTACAAGAATATGATAGCTCAGGCACACAATGGGTCTGATAAGACCACTTGTTTCACGCTTGGTATGTTGAGTCGGGTCTATCTCAAATTCCAGGCTCCTCAGGCTCTTTGTATTTGCCCTACCAGAGAACTGGCTATTCAGGTAATGTGTTTATTGCATTTGTATGCACATATTGTGAATAGACAAGTGGTTCATGTTTTCTTGGAGACGCCGTATTTGTCTGTTTTCGTATCATTTCCGCTTCATTGGCTTTGAATAATGATTATTATGGTTAAACTAATGCCAGTCACCAAGTTAAAATTGCCCCCCCAAAAAAAAAAAAAAAAAAAACACACACACACACACACCAAAAAAAAAAAAAACCAAGCCTAATTCTTTGGCCTTTTGTTGCTTTTGGATTTCATTAGTGGGACTTTTTGGTTTGTTTATCGCGGTGTTTCTGAGATTATGGGTTCAATCGGCTGTGTTTTTGGTGGTGTAAATGCAAAGTTTGAGTTGTACTTCATTGGTATAATTGTTTATATACTTGATATTCTTGAATCTCTTTGTTGGTTGGCCGCCAACTAGTGGTAAATTTTGTCTTGGGAATTGGGATTGCAAGTCCATTCTCAAGTGATGGTGTTGCCTAGGGTGTGAGTAGGTTTAGATTGTGGCATTAAGTGGATAATTGGTGTGTCCTGAATTTTTTTTAAAGATAATCTTTATGTTGAATTATTTTTTGCTTACGGTTCAAACTTTTTGTGCATTTACGTGGATGATTGTGCAGAATGTGCAAGTTCTTCAGAAGATGGGGAAGTACACGGGGATAACATCTGAATGCGCTGTGCCAATGGATAGCGCTAATTATTTGCCCATTTCGAAGCGAGCGCTTATCATGGCTCAGGTAGTGATTGGCACACCTGGTACGATCAATAGATGGGTTACAGCGAGGAAATTGGGCTTGAGTTCAATGAAGATTCTTGTGTTTGATGAGGCAGATCACATGTTGGCGGAGGTATTCTCATAGATTTTGATCGTGTTTGTACTTTCTCAACTAATAAACATGTGTAGTCAGTTGGAAACTGCTATTCTTGGGACGTTGTGTTCAAGCATCTTTTTTTCACATTCATTTCATTCGTTAACTTTATACATGTAACAGTTTATATTGTCTATGAAATCTTCTCATTCTGTAAGCTATTTTGTCCATTTAACTCTATACTGTTTAGTTGACCTGTAGGTGACTTGTTTTCAGGCCCTACAAAAACTGAGATATCGGTAACTAATATGTGTTACTTATTAATATGAATTACTTACGGAGTGTTCCTCGAATATTTCTGCTTCATGTGCTTGATTTTGGTTGTTTTTTGGAGTTTTAGTTATCTATATTTCTTTTTTTGCCTTGGAGATGTTTTTCATTTTTTAAGAATTGTAAGATGTCAGGCTTTGGTCACTGCTGTGCTACAATAACTTATGGATATGTTTTCTGATAAAATTTATGTGTATCACCTGTTGAGTTTCCTTTTGTTGCCTCATCAAGCTTCACAGCTCAAAGCTAAACATTTTCCATTGTCATATCCGTACAAACAACCAGCATTTTTCAGTACTTATACATTGATTTATTATTGATTTGGATATTCATTATTTGGGGTGCCACAATTGACTAACATTTAACGAGTAAAATGGAGTCTTTCCTAGGTGTCACTAGTACTGAATCAGATCATCGTTGAACTGATTTTTCATCTTTGTGATATCATAAAGTTCTGTTTTTGTTACGTCAGTTTATGGTTTGCTCTGAAGAAAAATTATTATCGAAAAGAAGAATAAGGAATTAAAATATGTAGCTCCTATGGATAGTTTTATCATCTCAACTCTTTAATTGGTACTTCCTATTATTCTTGAAGCCTGTTGCCCTGTCCCCTTCTACTCCAAACTTGGAAGAAAGAAAAAAAAAAAAAAAAGAAAAAGGAAAAGGGGCAAACCTCAAGTAAGGTTGAATTTGAAAATTTAGCATAAAATTTGCAGTTGTATGTTTCTGTCAATCTATGACCTATTGATGTGATTTAAATGGTTGGCTGCAATTTTTGTAGATACTTTGTTTTTTTCATGAAATTTTTTATCTTTTGGATTTTTGTTGCTCATTGAGGTTGTTTTAAGGTGTAGAGTGGCTTTAAAAACGACTCAGAGAGGATAATGAAGGCAATTGTTAGGTGCAATCCTGACTGCCAGGTTAAGTTTAAGGTGTAGAGTGGCTTGAAAGACGACTCAGAGAGGATAATGAAGGCAATTGTTAGGTGCAATCCTGACTGCCAGGTTAGTTACCCATTTGCATGTGAATGATTACTTTACTTTATAAAGTGGGGGATGGATAAGTTTGCACTATATGCTTCTCAATAGTTGAGTGCACATTTCTGTTTGAATAAGTGATTTTAGATTATTTATTAGATGTGTATGTAAGGCTGATTTTAGGCTGTCTTATCGACCAGATCTTAAGCTGATGTTTCTCAAGCAACGAAAATTTGCTAAAATTCAAAATTGCCTTGCAGATTTCCCCCTCCGTCTGTCTTTATTTGTTGTTTGGGGGGGTGAAAGAGCGAGAGGGTTGGGGGGTGGGGGATTCAGGAATGATAAGATGCATCTATTTTCCTTTTTGGTGTTTGTGTTGACCTAAAAGGTCCTAATTGTGATTTCAGATATTTTAGTAAGGCATGAATTCAGCACCATTAGACTAAAACCAGTCGACATAATAAACTCCATCTGAATCAGATTTCATTTTGCAATGTCTCTAATTGCACTGTTTTACTCTTCCCTTTCTCATGAACTAAACAGTATATACTGTTGCATAGTGCGGATTTTAAGCTGGAATATGTAACATATTGAAAATAAACTATGTTGACTTTGCTACTGAAACTGTTTAAAGGAAAATTATTCTATTTTCCTTCTTCCACATGAGCCTAATTACTTTGCTTGAAACTCCTCTTCAATTCTTGTTTGGTGTCTGGATTCACTAATGCAGATGCATATAAGGAAGGTGTGATTCCTAGGTTCCTGTAGAATATACTTGAGAAATTCAAGTTTCCAATATCCTATAGGGGCCATTTGAAATTGAAACAGTTGGATATATTTGACTATTTCATTGGAAGTTGTTAATTCATTGTATCGGGGAGCCAAGGAATATCCTTGTAGGATACTTGGCCAAGGTGTGACCCGTTAGCCAATGAGCAAGTACTGTGATGAAGCGGCTGTTGCTCACCAAATATGATGTATGAGGTCACAATTCACCCAACACGATCATTTGGGGTGAAAAAGAAATGGGGATCGGATGGGGTTATCTAACACTATGCCACTAGAAAGGCAAAAACCTTTGAACTTTAGTATTGCATGGCCATGCCATTGATTGTGAATAATAGTTTCCAGTTCCAGTTGTGATGGAAGTGTTTGAAAAGGGCCAGTTCCTTCTAGGTAGAGACAGAGCAGGCTTCGTTAGTTATTTCCTGGGAAAGTAGTCACATGGACATTAAGTCGAATTGATTAGTATTTCTCCACTGTTTGTTTTCACTGATGAGGATACTTTTTAACGTAATCTTGAATGAATTTCTATATCAGCAGAATGCCTAGAGGATTTGTCATTTTTAGTGTGAAGGGCAAATCGGAAACAGTTATGCATTAAGAAACAATGAACTGAAAGTAGCAAAGGATGCATTTTATTGGTTATATTTTAGTGGATACTTAATTTTCAAAAATATTTTCTGGTTTTCAATTTTGTTCATCAAGAAATTTGTCACATTTCTAATATGGATCTAATACTTGACTTTTCTTTGGGGTTTCCAATTGCCAGGTGCTCCTGTGTTCTACCGCTTTTGATGATGCTGTCAGGGCATTTGTGACAAAGACTGTTAAAGAACTCTTTTTAAAAGATTACAATGAAATAAAAGTGAACAGAGAAGAATTGTCACTGGAGTCTGTGAAGCAATATAAGGTGAAAAGTCCTGATGAACTTGCAAAGATTTTGGTGATTAAAGACAAAATTATGGAACTAGGACAGAAGTTGGGGCAAACAATTATATTTGTTCGCACAAGAACTAGTGCAAGTATGTTGCATAAAGCGCTTGTTGACTATGGGTATGAGGTTACAACTATTCAAGGTGCTCTTAAGCAAGAAGATAGGGACAAGATAGTGAAGGAGTTCAAAGATGGACTGACCCAAGTTCTTATATCAACTGGTGTCCTCTCCCGGGGTTTCGATCAATCATAGGTGCTAATCTCCCTAAATTTTCCCAGTCCTTTACTTTTGAGCTTAGTAGTAACTTCATGTTTTATGCTCCACATTCCAACGATGTGTTACGGTTTCTTTCAATAGGTGAATTTGGTCGTGAATTATGACCTTCCTGTGAAATACAATAATCTGTCAGAACCTGATTATGAGGTATACTTGCACCGGGTTGGTAGGGCAGGGCGATTTGGTCGCAAAGGTAAAATTCTCTATTTAATGATTTTTTTCACTGTCATGCATGTTTCATTAAATTTATCATCTAATGATTCAGAATGCATGATTTGTGTATCTAATTATCATTATGTGTTCGGGTCCCCACCCTGTTCTCTATTTTCTACCATGTGTATGTTTTGTTTTATTTCTATTTGCTTTGTCCTGTAAGTTTGATCTTCAGTTCATTGTGTTGTATGGTGTTTCAAATATTGAAATGTAACTCGGTCTATTTTTATCATGCTTTAAATGTGGAAATGGTAACATGCTCTATTTCTTTGTATGTCTAGCATGTGTAATTGTTTTTGCTTTTTGGGGGAAAAAGCTGCTAATGTTAGGATTTTGTTGTCAGTTTGATCCCCCCCNTGTGTGTGTAATCTGTGTATCCAATCTCATTTTAGAGAAAGAAAGAGGATATTTCTTTTTCTTCCACCAATACAACTTGAATATGGTTGGGTCTCCACCTTCACTGGTGATGTGAGGAGATTTGGAGAAAGAGGGAGATAGTTATGGATTTGGGTGAGGGGAGAGAGAGAGAGAGTACTCATAACATTGATGGCGAGATGGGTGTGTTGTTTTTGAAATTTTGAAACTTGAAAATTGAAAAAAAACAAGAGAGAGATCGTCACCCGAGTTTCGCACCTTATTTTTGTTGAAATTTGTTCAAGTGTTAACCATTATCATTTGGAATGACGTTTTCTACAAAACAATTTTTTGAACGCTTGTTATGTTTATCATTTTTAATTCATTTTATTTAATGTTATTCTGAATGGCATCTTTAAAAACGTCATTGAAAATGACGATTTTAATAAAAAAATTGTAATTTGAAATCGTCATTTCAAATGATGTTTTAGCTTATGAAGGCGTCATTATAAATGATGTTTTTAAAATCAGACTGAATTTGAAAAATAAGTTTAAAATAGACTGAGTTTGAGAATAAAATTGGTGAGAAAGTTGGATTTGTTCAAAAGGTCAATAAAGCAGTTACATTATCCTGAAGAGCTTCAAGAGGAAGGATTTCGTTTCAATGGTACACTTGATAACTTGATAAAAGATCGGTGGCATTAGGTCTTCAGTCTCTATCAATGCTATGCTCTCATATTTTGTGTGCTAGTGAGGTCCTAGATAGTTATGCTCTCTTTAGTCGGAAGGATAAAAATTATGAGAGATATAAAGTAGGAGGGATACACTTTCTATTCGTCAAGAAAGAAATGTATGAATCATTCACTTTCTTTTCTTTGTGTTTTGTAGGATGAATGAAAAATAAAAATGATTAATTTTTTTTTGACTGGGTAAGATTAGGGGGGTGACAATCGTGTCAGGTTCGTATTCAATTATTGCGGATTCGTGTCGAATATTAATTAACCTAATTCAACTTATTTAATTAATTATATCGTGTCGAGTTGACCTGTTTATTTTCTTATCATGTTCATATTCGTATTAACTCACATAAATTTCGAATAAAAAATTTATCGCTAATATTTTATTTTCACTTAATTGAATCTATGCTCATACTTTTTCTATAAACTAAAAATTAACTTAAATAAATATAATAATAATAATGAGTAAAAATATCTTTTTTATATAATAATATGTTTGTGCTTAATAAATAGTTACAAATAATTAATATTTTATATCTATAATACTAGATAAAATGTTAATTTTGTATTAATTTTGTGTTACCATTAAAACGAGAAAATAGAGAAAGTGTTTATTCTTAAATAAACGGGTTGATGATGTCAATTTTGGGTCTGACGGGTTGAACTGAATATGATTTATTTATATTTTGTGTTCGCGTGTTAGGTCATTTTCGAGTTCGTGTTGAGTTATAATCAAGTTCGTGTCATAAAATTCGTGAAGAGTTCGAATTGTGTAATTGTGTTGAGTTAAAAATTTTCACTCTTAACTAAGATAGAAAAAATATTTTTTATTTTTTATTTTTAAAATTTTATTAATTTTTTTTTAAAAATATAAATATATAAATGAAATTAATGTATACATAATAGATGTATATATATAAAGATATATAAACAAATAGGATACATTTCAACACAAATAATTAATTTTTTATCAACTTTTTTTTTTTCCTGATTTTGGAAGGATTGATTTTTGTTAGTTGGAATAAAAATTCATCCATCCACTTTTTTATTTTTCTTATTTCCTTACCTTACCAAACATGATGTTTTATCTATCCCTCAAACTTTTTATTATTCTAATTTTTTATTTTTTTATTTTTTTTATTTTTCTATCATACTAAATAGAGCATTAAGTTTTTGGTGGCTTTAATTCTGTACTTCATGGATAAGTTTGTTTCAAGAGTCATTGCTTGATATAATTGCTAGCAATGTTCTTGCTTCCATGTTTTGAAAGTTATGTTTGCATTTAACTGAGAGGAGAAAAAGAAAAAGGCAGTTTATTTGTAGTTTTTGGGATGTGATTTCAGGTGTATGTATAGGTTCAAACTTTGTATTTAATGAATTAGAGCATCTCCAACGGGTTATATAAAAAAGGCTTGTTAGTTACTTTAGATAGTAAGTCCACAGATTTTGGCTCCAACCGACTAGTTATCTCACTCGGTATTACCCATAAGCCAATATTGGCTTGCTGGATCTGGCAAGCTCCTCCAAGGCTAGGTATTTCCTCGATCGCTGTATTTGTGCCAAAATTATCTACTGTACACAAGCTCCACAGAAGGCTTCATCGCAAAGCCTTCATCTTTGCACATTACTCTGAATCAAATCGTCAACTACACAAAAGATCAGTCCACAGAAGGCTTCATTGCAAAGGCTTCATCATCTTCATCATCACAGAGGCTTCATTTTGCAGAAGCAGGTATGGTCTCTCTCTCTCTCTCCCTCTTTCTCTCTCTCTCTCTCTCTCAGAAACTCTGTATTTAAGCCAAGAAAAATAGAGAATTTGTGGGAGTTTTGAGAGGGTTTGATCTGAGAGGGTTTACAATCACCCAAACAACCCAACAACCATACTCCTTTACTGGATCAACAACTATGGTAATCTCAGTTTCAAATTTTGTGTTCAAATTTCTGGAAAATCAATTTGTTCACGTGACGCCCCTAAAATCGGGGGTTTCGTTGACCACCCGTCAACCCGTAGAAATACTCGTGGTTGTCGCATAACCCGACATCATGTCTATCACGTCCCTGTAACCGGGATTACAACCCAAACGAAGATTCGTGTTTACTTTAATTCATTTAATCCCATCGAGGTTCAACATACCCCAATGTATCTCATTTAAGGTCTATTTGTGTCATTGGAACCAAAGAACACATACCCCAAATGCCTAGTAATGCATTCTTAAAATTTCAGATTTTTGAAAAACCTTTCAGAAGGTTTTGTCTACTGGAAAACAATTTACATTAACCTTTCAAAAGNCCCTGTAACCGGGATTACAACCCAAACGAAGATTCGTGTTTACTTTAATTCATTTAATCCCATCGAGGTTCAACATACTCCAATGTATCTCATTTAAGGTCCATTTGTGTTATTGGAACCAAAGAATACATACCCCAAATGCCTAGTAATGCATTCTTAAAATTTCAGATTTTTGAACAACCTTTCAGAAGGTTTTGTCTACTGGAAAACAATTTACATTAACCTTTCAAAATGTTTTCTTCAACCTTCCGGAAGGTTTTGCTTGCTGGACCAAAAGTCTGCATTAACCTTCCGGAAGGTTGTTGCGACCTTCCGGAAGGTTTTGTCCAGAATTTTATGCCTCTTCAATTTTTCATTTCCAATCCACTAAAAACCTTTCCAAATCCATTCTAAACATGTATAATAATATTTTCTACATTATACATGATTCATACAAGTTTATTACAACCCATTCCCNCAAAATGTTTTCTTCAACCTTCCGGAAGGTTTTGCTTGCTGGACCAAAAGTCTGCATTAACCTTCCGGAAGGTTGTTGCGACCTTCCGGAAGGTTTTGTCCAGAATTTTATGCCTCTTCAATTTTTCATTTCCAATCCACTAAAAACCTTTCCAAATCCATTCTAAACTTGTATAATAACATTTTCTACATTATACATGATTCATACAAGTTTATTACAACCCATTCCCTTGCAATTTACATGCCAAAATGGAATTTAAATTAAAAATTTTATATAAACTCGGTTCAAGAGCCATAACCCGGCTCTTCTTCACCTTTGAGGCCCCGAATGTGTGTCATCCACCAAAGTATGCCCCGTACCTGAAATATTTCCCGTATAGGGTAAACTGACGCCTAGTAGATNCATTCTAAACTTGTATAATAACATTTTCTACATTATACATGATTCATACAAGTTTATTACAACCCATTCCCTTGCAATTTACATGCCAAAATGGAATTTAAATTAAAAATTTTATATAAACTCGGTTCAAGAGCCATAACCCGGCTCTTCTTCACATTTGAGGCCCCGAATGTGTGTCATCCACCAAAGTATGCCCCGTACTTGAAATATTTCCCGTATAGGGTGAGCTAACGCCTAGTAGAGTATTTCTTATAAGGGCTACTCCCTAACTTAAGTGCATATGCAATGTTCACATGCAACATTTAACAACAGTAATCATTCCAACTAACACTTAAGTAAGTCAAGGTTGAAATTTAACATACCATGCCATGAATTGAGATGATGCCCATTCATGCAATTTACTCGAGTCCTTCCCGGCTCCACAACACGTGCAATGCCAATGTGTATTAAAAACGAGCTTTTCTAGCTCTGGCTATTTACCTTCACCCCATGCTATACAGTGAGTATCAAAATCGAACTTTTCAAGCCCCCCGCCATTTGTGTTACACACCCAATGACTAACTAAAATCTTCGGGTCTTTCTTGGGGTGAGTATTTATGGACTTACACCAACGGTCACCCAATCGACACGGAATTCATAGACTTCCACCAACGGTTCCGCGTACATCTACACACTTTATAGGCTCTAATACCAACGGAAGTGCATATCCAAATACCGGGTCTCTCACCCGAGGGATAGTCTAGTCCTTCTTTCTATCCCGATCCAATTCTTTTTCATGCAACCGTGTGACTCAGCCAGATATTTAATCCAATTTCTCNTTGGGGTGAGTATTTATGGACTTACACCAACGGTCACCCAACCGACACGGAATTCATAGACTTCCACCAACGGTTCCGCGTACATCTACACACTTTATGGGCTCTAATACCAACAGAAGTGCATATCCAAATACCGGGTCTCTCACCCGAGGGATAGTCTAGTCCTTCTTTCTACCCCGACCCAATTCTTTTTCATGCAACCGTGTGACTCAGCCGGATATTTAATCCAATTTCTTCGAGCCCACTCATCATCCACCTACATGGTGTTTGATGCCAGCCATGCACCCACACCCATAAAATGCGATGTCTACGTGCATATGCACTGTAATGTATCATTGTTATTTCAACATCATGTCCACATGTAATGAATGCCACATGAGCAAAATTAACTACATTCAAACAAGTTCCAAGGTAATTTATATCCGGAGCATATAATTACCAAACTTTCTCATAATTCTATATGCCAATGAACATATATCCACATTTCACTTTCAGCAACAATTCACAAGCATGTTATTACATAACATATGTTGACAACATACTTAATTCTCAAAGCATACAATAAACACATAACATGCTCACATAACCCCTAAATTCCATGGATTNAACAATTCACAAGCATGTTATTACATAACATATGTTGACAACATACTTAATTCTCAAGGCATACAATAAACACATAACATGCCCACATAACCCCTAAATTCCATGGATTACATTGAGTCTAATTCACAACCCATTTCAAGGTAAAATTTCATTTTACCCAATTTTAATATCCATTTCATCAATTTTCACAACAAAGGTAATGANATACAATAAACACATAACATGCTCACATAACCCCTAAATTCCATGGATTACATTGAGTCTAATTCACAACCCATTTCAAGGTAAAATTTTATTTTACCCAATTTTAATATCCATTTCATCAATTTTCACAACAAAGGTAATGGTAAAATCTATTTATCAACATACCCATTACATACTACACCTTAGGTTGTAAATAAACCCGAGTAGGAAGAAACCCTACCTCTTGAAACGTAAAGAACGACCGTAGGAAGTCCCCAATAACCTGCTCCTAGCTTGAATCTTCTCCTCCCAAAAATTTCATTTTTTAACCTTCANAATCTATTTATCAACATACCCATTACATACTACACCTTAGGTTGTAAATAAACCCGAGTAGGAAGGAACCCTACCTCTTGAAACGTAAAGAACGACCGTAGGAAGTCCCCAATAACCCGCTCCTAGCTTGAATCTTCTCCTCCCAAAAATTTCATTTTTTAACCTTCGGTAAAAATTCTCATTTTTGGTGCGTAGGCGTAGCCCTTGGCGAGATGAACAACTTTTCCTCTTGGCCTGAGCGGATTCGATCACTCTAACTTCGTAGATGTTAGAGAGAAGGTGGAAAAATTTCCTTTTTTCCCTTTCTTCCCTAACGACTAATGGTTGGACACAAAATGAGGCCAAAAAATCAGATTTCCCCTTTTTTATAGCCTTAGGATACTTGCCCCACAACGTGTCACACATAACCTTTTTTTTTTTTTTTTTCGNTTTCCCCTTTTTTATAGCCTTAGGATACTTGCCCCACAACGTGTCACACATAACCTTCTTTTTTTTTCAGGTCCATTTTTATTCCGAAACGATAAAATTTTGTCTCGGTTCAAGTTCAAATTAATTTTATCTTAATTTTTCTTAAATTATTTTCTAAATTTCTAAATTTTATTGAAAATTCCGTTTTTGGGTCATCTGAGACTCGACCATCTCGTAAAATGTGAAAAATTTAACTAACTCAAAATTCTATGAAACTTAACGTGGTAACTAGATTTCGTGAGATGAATCTAACGGTGAGGTCCGTTTCATCATCTGAGGTCTAGAAAAATTTAAATTTTTAACCCGTACTGTAGCAGCAAAATTACTATTTTGCCCTTGTTTACAAAAGTTTAAATTTACCGGATTTTACAGTTCAAATTTCTAGAAAATAGCTAGTCATATAGATGCGTTCTTGGTCATATGATTTTTCCCAATCTTACTTAGATCTTGATCGTTCTTGAGAAATTGAGTTTAAATGGCTTGGGTGCTCGGTAGGTTTGGGGCATTGAATAATTGTAAAGACCTACATCTAGGACTGGATCAACCATGCTAAGAATTGGAGAAAGAACACAAGACAATTTTTAACTTTGGTAATTTACTGACACTTGAGTTTGGAACAACATCGACTGATTCCAAAATAATTGGGACAAGGCTTAACTAAGTTCAGTTTTTATTTTCTTTGCTGGTCACAAACTTTCAGCTTCCTGGTTTGGAAATTGTCGCTCCACATCAGTCAAACATTCAAGTTTGTCTTGCTTTACTTAGGAATTTAGATTAGTGATTGTGATTATTTATGTTGATTGAACAATTTTTGAATGTGCTTGAGTTTTGTTATTGATTGTTAGAGTTCTTAAATGTATTATTTGACTTGATTAAACAATGTTTGAATGTGCTTGAGATTTGTTATTGATTATTCTCTTGCATTGCTTAAAGTCATTGCTGTTTTTGTGCACAATTCTCTTGTTTCAGATAGGTATTGTTATGAATATAAGATAAAACTAACACTCCTTTGTTGAGAATAACGTGGAATGTAGAAATTGATTGTTAAAAGTTTGTTCAGTTGGATAAGTGATGTGCATGCATTGGGTTGCTATAGCATAGGGGAAGAGCTATTATATTTAGTCTACAATCTACATAAATGCCTTGGTAGTTGGAAAATAGTGACAAAATCAGAGAGCATATTGTCTTTTGGATTGAAAATTAAATGTTGATTCCTTGATAATTTAGGATCCACTACTATGCAAATCACTAGGTAGTAGATGACATATATCATAAAAAAAATATGGTGCTTACTCACTAAGTAGTAGTTTTATTTTCTTTGCGTACTCATGGCATTATAAATTATAAATTGTGAATTGTGAATTATAGGGATTATTCATGGATCCATTCCAACATGGTGCTTACTTCACCAATCTCATGTATGATGAATAAAATTTAGATGATGAGGTTATAGGTCAATCTTCACAAATATTTCCTCAAGTAGAATCCACCACCAAAAAACAACGAGGTGACAATTTTACAGTAGAGGAAGACATTATGATAATCTCAGCGTTACTTAATATTAGTTTGGATGTTGTGCAAGGAAATGAGAAAAAATCAAAGACATATTGACAAAGGGTTTGAGAGTTTTTCCACAAATACAAACCTAAGGCATGCCCTAGTCGTAGTCAAAGTTCTTTGATGAATCTTTAGTCGGCAATTCAGCCAGCCATCCACAAATTTTGTGGGTACTTTGCACAGATAGAAATACTGAATCAAAGTGGTTTGACAGAGAAAGGAAAGGTATGAGTGAATATTTTCTTACAAAATAGTGTACTTTTAATACGTGATAATGAGTTATTTTGTATGATTTTTCAGATTCTTGATGTCAAGAACTTGTACAAGGAACTCTAAAAATCTTCTTTTCAGTTTGAACATTATTAGAATGAGTTAAGGTATCAACCAAAATAGATGGAGGATTCTCAGTCTAAGAAGTAAAAAATAAAAAGTGGTGCAACTCCTAGCAGCTCTAATCCTTCAACACCAGAATCGGTAAACATAGGAGATGACAGTGGGGGCTTGGAGAGGCCAATTGGAAGGAAGGCTGCGAAAGAATGAGCAAGAAAGTCAAAGAGCAAACTCTTTGAAGGCGATAATTCAATTTTAACCTATTTCGTGAAACTGTTTGAAGAAATGAAGGAAGAGAAAAAGATGTTGACGGAGAAGAAAGTCGAATTTATGGAAAATCATATCTTCAAGAACAAGAGAGACTAGCTCATGATAAAGAGCGATTGACTGTTGAACAAGAGAAACTAGCTCATGATAAAGAGAAGACACAACTCAAGCAAATGAAGGAGGAACAGAGAATAATATTGATGGACATGAGTATCAGGCCTCCGATTCAAGCTGAATATTTTAAGCGCCTCTAGATGGAAATCATGGGAAAAAAATATAGTTCTTTCTTATTCATAAACTAACAACTTTTGAGTAGTAGTACAACAAACAAATACTGTAATATTATGCATGCTTAAATATTCTTAGACAACGAATGTTTAAATATTCGTAGAAAATTTGTAGCATATTACTACCTAAAACATTCCATGTATAATCCACAGGTGCTCAGCTAAATCAGTTTGGAGTCTCGAATGAGTGTCTCTGTCTCGAATGCGATGTTGAGTATGAATAAATTGAAACAATTATGAACTCTGTTTGGATATTAATGTAGGTGTAGGAATGTCATCCGATGCATCATAACGAAAGTTCATTTCATTANTACCCTAATCAAATAATCAAGTACTAGATAAATCTTAACTACATAAGACTTCAAACTTCTAAAATATGAATAAGAACCCTAAATACCTCTAGAAGAAAAACAAAGTAAACAGAAAATCTAACTACAATTCCAGCTCCTCAAGATCAGGCAATGGAAATCTCAGAATGGCTGCAATTCCAGTTAACTGCGCGAGCTTTTCATAGCACACATGCGTTGATGAAAACACCAATACCTTCCCACTAGCTTTCTTCACCGATTTAACCAACTCTATGTACTTCTGCCTTGTCTCAATCTCTTCACTCTTATACAAATCATCCGTGATCATCAGGGTTTCGATTGCTGTCAACTCGTTTGCAGTCTCGACGCTCTTTGGACCATAGCAAGCGCGATCGGAATTGCTTGATACCATGTCTGTGAATTCCTTAAACGCCTTGATTTCAGTGGCAGCTTTGGTGTCCTTGATTAAATCCATCACCGTCGCTTCATTCAGGACTTCCTTCAAAGAGTTGATATACAGAGCCTTTGTATCCAGCAAAACTATTCGGGACTTGCTGTTTGTAATCGATTTCATCTTCAACTTCAGTGCTTCAGATAATAGATAATTTCGAAACTCATCTTTTATCGATCCAAGGCTTCCAATTACGACACAACGAATGACATCCAAATCAATATGCTTTGTAAAAGCACGAAAAACATTTTCGAAAAACTTGTTTGATCCAGATTTGTGTCCTGTACTGCCTTCTATTGGAGGACAGACCATTGCAACGCTTCTACCGACTGAGAACATGTGAGCCAACCCTTCACACATCAAAACAACCACCAAATCGGCCCCGGCGGTCCGATCGCAACCCTCTTTCAACGTGTTCATTGCTTCTTCGTTCCAAACCTTCTTCGTCAGATGAAATTCCTTGTTTTTCTCGAGTTCTATAGTATGAAACACGCCGGGCTTGACAAATTCATTGCACGTAATGGTCTTGCCACGAACCCGAATGACAGGTGAGTTTTTGTTGTAATCCACGGCGGTGACTCTGATTTCAAGCTCGACATTAACCCTAGACGGGTTCTTCTTCGACCCAGAATCGCTGGCGTTGTGGATTTTTCGAGAGGTGTCGGCGGAGATAACGTCGCCGGCGGCGATGAGATTGTATAGAAGCCACAAATCATCGAGTTCTTCAGGGAGGAGCTTCACATCGCCTGGTTGGTTGAGAACAATTTTACTCTCTAACAGCTTCATTGTTGTGAAATTTTTGATGGTGGTCTGTGTGATTTGTGCTACTCATTTATAGGAGGGTAAAGGTTTGCGTTTCATATTGGGATTGGGATTGGGATTGGGATTGGGATTGGGATTTGAGTAAAAGGTTGGGTTTCCTATTCCGATCAATTGGATTCTAACCTCCAACCAACTTATTTTTTCGCACACAACCACACACTCCAATCAGAAAAATATTCTTTAAACTTTTGGGAGTCCTTTCTTCTCCAATCCTATCCTAGCGTTGTCCAGGCGCAATGAAATGGGAATATTCTTGGTGTCGAATTTCAATAGTAGTGGTCAACCTCATTTTTTTTAAAAAATATTTATTTAAAGAAAGATAAATACTAAGGGGCAATGTGGTGCGGCTTAAGAAGAAAGTAGTGAATGTGATGGACCGTTGTTTCATTCTTAGTATCACTATTTAATAATAAATTAACATGATAAATAGATTTAAATTTAATAATTATCCTATTTATGTGAAAGAATAATTATTGTATGTAAATAAGTGATATTTTTGGTACTCATAAATTTATTATTAGATGATGTTTTTGCATAAAAATAATGACGTGATGTTATTATTATATTAAATATTTACTTAGGCCTTGAAAAAAAAATTTAATATAATAATAATATCACCCAATTCTTTTTAATAATTCTTTGCCCATGTTCTTATTTTTCAATGATTATATTATGGTTGTAACAGCTGTGCTTCAAAGTTTGGTTCGTAGGTCTTCTTTTTTTTTTTTNCGTTTCATATTGGGATTGGGATTGGGATTGGGATTGGGATTGGGATTTGAGTAAAAGGTCGGGTTTCCTATTCCGATCAATTGGATTCTAACCTCCAACCAACTTATTTTTTCGCACACAACCACACACTCCAATCAGAAAAATATTCTTTAAACTTTTGGGAGTCCTTTCTTCTCCAATCCTATCCTAGCGTTGTCCAGGCGCAATGAAATGGGAATATTCTTGGTGTCGAATTTCAATAGTAGTGGTCAACCTCATTTTTTTTTAAAAAATATTTATTTAAATAAAGATAAATACTAAGATAAATACTTAGTATCACTATTTAATAATAAATTAACATACTAACATACAGATAAATAGATTTAAATTTAATAATTATCCTATTTATGTGAAAGAATAATTATTGTATGTAAATAAGTGATATTTTTGGTACTCATAAATTTATTATTAGATGATGTTTTTGCATAAAAATAATGACGTGATGTTATTATTATATTAAATATTTACTTAGGCCTTGAAAAAAAAAATTAATATAATAATAATATCACCCAATTCTTTTTAATAATTCTTTGCCCATGTTCTTATTTTTCAATGATTATATTATGGTTGTAACAGCTGTGCTTCAAAGTTTGGTTCGTAGGTCTTCTTTTTTTTTTTTGATTTTCGGATTTTTCCATTTAGCATTAAGTTTTCCCTTTTGTGTGTTCTTGAAGAATAGAGCTGCGGCCACCTCGGCAGTACATACATGTGGGACGGAGGAAAAAGAAGAATACTTGAAAAAGTGGTCTACCACCGCCATAATCAACTTAAAATCCTTCGCCTTAAGAAAATTCAGTGACGAAGTCTATAGAGAAATTCACTCATGGTTTATCTGGAATAGATTACAATTTCAACAAGTCGACAGTTTTTGCTTCAATTACGGGTTTGATTGAAGTTTTTCTTCTAGGGCATTCATTTCTGCTTGATTGTTGAAATGTGTTTATAACAATAAAGTTACAATTTCCAGGTTTAAATTATTGGATACAAATTAATAAATAAATCAGATACGTGTGAAATATTTTTAATACAAACTCATTAAAACTCAACATCAACCTTTTCTAAGTGTATGTATGACTACACAATGGGTGTGTTTGGGTAGTGGATTAACATCCATAAGGATAGATTAAGAATGCAGTGGGTCCCATAAATCTTGTGTTTGACAACTAAAAATTAAGTGAATATATAAATTCTGGGTCCAACCTTGAATCGGATGCTAAAGTGGTTTTTATCCAACCTACATGGTTTAAGCGTAACTCATCTCCCCCATTGGTTACAATCCTTCTCAACAAGTTTACAAAGCAAAAAGACATGTTTACCCTCTTTTTCAGATAAATGTTCCTACACGAGCTTTTATCCTAACCCAAGGGATTTTTCAAAAAAAAAAATACCCAAAAGAGTGTTGTTTTGAAAGTATTTCCCAAATCCAAGCTACTTTAAAAACTTCAGTTGGAATGTCGTTTTTAGACCAAAAGACGTTAGTTGCATGAACGTTTTTAGGCAAAAAAAGTCAGACCAACTAACGTTTTTTGTGCAACAGTGTGACTACATAAGACAACTTAAAAATGTCAGTTGAACTAACGTTTTTAGTGAAAACGTCAGTTTAACTATTGTCTTCTGAAAGCGTCAGTCCAAATGACATTTTTAGACTGTTTTTTCTCCCTATTATTTTATGTGTAAAATGTTTAATTTTTATTTATTAAAAAATTTAATTAAATTCAATAAATAGATTTTGATCATTTAAAAATGCATAAATTTTCGATGGTCCTACTGACGTTTTGTTGTTTTGTTTCCTATAACTGTTTTGTTCCCTAAAACTGTTTTGTTCCCTCTCTTATTTATGAGTAAATGTTTAATTTTATTTATTTAAAAATTTAATAATATTCAATAAATAAATTTTGATCATTTAAAAATACATAAAATTTGAGCATATCAAATTTAAAAATTGAAAATGTATACATATAATTAATTTTCATTTTATCATATAATTTTAAACATATACATAAAATAAAAAAAAAATTATTTTTAATGTTGATCATGTCGACAATAATGTTTATTAAAGGGTGTAAAAATATAAGTTATTCATAAAAAAAAATTGAGCCTTTATTTTATAACACTATGTAGTGAATCTGATAGGTTAAAAAGGGCTATCAATAACGTGGTTAATATTCAAAACAACATAAATGATTATCGAGTATACATAAACATGATGAGATAAAAGTGTTACATGCATTATCGTCCAAATCAAAGAAATTAGAAAGGTCAGGATCAGAAACAAATAGCAGATCCTCTAAGATTTCAATTTTGGCATATTCAGGATCAAAATACTTTATTTTTTCATAATTGAGTGCATGGAAACGATCAAGACGACGCTGCATTTTATCATTTTCACGTTCAAACTTTGATATGACCTCGTCATGATTTTTTGAGTTCTGTGAATTATAAATATCAGCTGAATGTGCTTTTGTTACCGCAAGTCCATGTCAATGACAAAATACTTCAAGGCCATAACGTTTGTCATATAAATGTTGCCATCTTATTATGGGTTTGATAGGAGCACCTGGAGGTGGATAGTCAGTTGCAGGCCCAACAATTACATGTCCAACTTGACCGAATGGGTGAAAAGAGTCGATGGGCTTATTACGCAATGCACGCTTTTGTCCATACCACATTACACCACTGAAATCAGTATATAATTTAATAGAAGGAACTTTGTTCAGTGATGTTGATCTGTCTGTTGAGCGTTCACCGCTAGTGCATTAGTGGACCTTATTCTATATTTCGACATCTTAAAACTAATAATTTTTTTGAGTGTACTGAGCATCATAATCAAAGAAAAATATGGATCAAATATAATTCTACCCAAAATATAATCACAACTCGTAAATCACAACCAAAGTGACTCAACTTACTTTGAAACTGAAATCAACATCATATATCAAAATAGTAAATATCCACATAAGTATTGAGTCAAACAACAACATATAAGCAATGTCAGACTATCTACAACATTTAAGCAATGTCAAGCTATCTCATGATAACTGCACAGTGTCCAAATGAACAACATAAAAGACATGTCAAGCTATCAACAACTAGGTATAGTGGATAATCAATGTTTTAAACCCCGGCTTGGCTTGGCAGGTCAACCCGATGAACCGGTCCCCTAACCGGGCTAGTTCTATATTAAAAGACCGTTTATGTAAGGAACCTGGTATAATCCTNTGGATAATCAATGTTTTAAACCCCGGCTTGGCTTGGCAGGTCAACCCGATGAACCGGTCCCCTAACCGGGCTAGTTCTATATTAAAAGACCGTTTATGTAAGGAACCTAGTATAATCCTGTTGAACCGATCAAAAATTGGTAAATCCGTGAGAACCGAACGAGTTTAGAAAACTGATCGGTTTAATGTCATTTCTCAACGATCCAGACTAGCGAGCACAACCTCCACTCCAACACCAGTAGTGATCAACCTCCACTCCAATAACGATCAGCCAACGACCAACGACTAATGATCAACATGATCACCAACGATTGACCAACCTTTAGTGACCCAGTCCAATGAGTTTCCCTTTCTCTCTCCCTCTTTTTCTCTGTCTCTTTTTCGCAAAAACTTTTCTTGTCCTTTATCACCTTATCTAGAACTTGTCCTTGCGTTTCTTGTTAAAAATTCTTCTATGTCCAATGAGGCTCTAAGTTAAGTGCTCATATCTCTTCTTAATAATCATCATTGGGATGTTCTTCATTCCCACAAACTGCAATGGATGTTGATGTGTGCTGTACATATCTGTTCAGTCTAGAAAGCAATAAGAGATACATGAACATTGTCATTTCATATTTGGGATTTGGTACTTGTAACCTATGGATTATGGTATTGTACTTTTTATTTGTGTGTTTTATGTTTGTTTAAGATTGTGAACTTGTGGATTGTTTATTGCGGTAAGAGCATTATGAATTGTGATATTGAACTTGTGGCTTGTTTGGGATTCTTGTTTTTCATTATATATAATTGGGTTGTAGATTATTTAATTGATAGTAGTGGTAATATTTGTATTTTCAAGTGGAACTAGGCAGTGGTTGAATAATTTATTTTCAGTTTTGTTTATTTGAGTCTTTATGCTATGCTTATGTGCTTTGTTTTGTTTTCATGTGTCTTGTTTTACTATAGTTTGAGTTTGAACTTTGAAGAGTGCAAATTACATGGATTATGCTTAGATTGATACATTGTCGAAGAGTTAGACTTAAACTTTGAGTCTTGAACTTTGATAGAGGTATTTTTCTTTACTTAACTTTACAAGTTGTATTGAAAATTAAATACATTGAAATTAGATACATGTTTGATGATTTTTCTCTACTTAACTTTACATGTTTGATGTTATTTTTATAACTATTGTATTTTTTAGCCTATTTATTATTATTTATAATTATTTTTTAATTTTTTATTATAT